GAGAGAATCATTTAGAATGAAGATTTTATGACCCGAGGCACAGTATTATTGCATTAACATGTTATGATATCGAGTGATTAGGACCTAGGAGAGTAGTGTCTCTTTTGTGGTATATTTAGCTTATGATCAGAGCTTGGTAGTTGGGGTGAAGAAGAATTAGAAGATAAGTTTTATTATAGTAAGATAAGTAATTTCTCAGAGAGTAATGGNAAAAAACAAAACAAACTGCAATGTTTGCTGCCTTATTGACAGATGTTGTTAGTTGACAAATGTTGACACGTTTTTTGCCTATAAGAGGAGGGCAACCAAAATGATTGAGGGAATGGAAGGACTGGACTATGAGGAGAGACTAAGTAAATTGGGCATGTTCACTCTGGAAATGAAAAGATTGAGAGGCGACATGATTGCTGTCTTTAAGATTCTAGATGGGCCAGACAGTATAAATAATAATAATAACAATAATAATAATAATCCTTGCGTTTGATATAGCGCTTTTCATGTCAGGAGGACATCCCAAAGCGCTTCACAGAACACACTGTAAAGTGAATTGACTGTATATTTGTGGGCGAACGCGGCAGCCAATTGCGCACAGCAATGTCCCACAAACAGTCGTAGATTGAAAATGACCAATTTATTATTGTTTTTGGAGGGATTATTATTAGGCGTGTGGAGTAAGGAAACTGCCTGGGATTGAACTCAGGTCTCTCACTTGCAAAGCGAGTGCTCTAACCACTGAGCTACAGGGCTCATCACAGGCTGTTTCAACTTGTCCAGAATAGTAAAACCAGAGATCATGGCCTGCAAATGAAGGGGGGTAAATTCAGAACGAATCTACCAAACACTATTTCAGTGAGCAAATAGTGAACCTGTGGAACAGGCTCCCTAGGGAGATGGTTGAAACAGGAAGTGTTGATTCTTTCAAACACAGATTGGATCGTTTTCTTTTAGGAAGTAACATGATGGGATATAGTACATAGGTAGACCGCCTGGAAGGTGAACTAGATGGACCTTGGTCTTTTTTTGGCTAGCATTTCTAGCTAATTTCTAGCTAAGGTAACTCATGACTGGAATAGGTTGCCAGAAAGAGTGGTTGAGTCCAGGATGCTGGACTAATTTAAAATAAAAAACAGTTTGTTGCTGCAGTAGGAGGATGGTAAGGTGGATATTCTGGAAGGAAGACCTTTCTTTATCCAAACCAATCTTGTGATATGCCTCACCTTTGCCAAGATTTGTGGAGTCCTGTAGCTCAGTGGTTAGAACACTCGCTTTGCAAGCGAGAGAGAGACCTGAGTTCAGTCCCAGGCAGGGCGAAGCCTTGGGCAAGTTTCCTTACTCCACACTCCTAATAATAATCCCTCCAAAACCCAAAACAATAATAAATTTGTCATTTTCAATCCAAAACTGTTTGTGGGACATTGCTGTGCGCAATTAGCTGCCGCGTTCGCCCACAAATATACAGTCAATTCACTTTACAGTGTGTTCTGTGAAGCGTTTTAGGACGTCCTCCCGACGTGAAAAGCGCTATATCAAATGCAAGGATTATTATTATTATTATTATTTCCTCATCTATCATCCCTCCTTTCTGAAAGTGCTAACTTTTTCGGGAATACTGTTCTGTAAGTTTGTCAACTCTTCATATTTGATGTGTGATCTGGACTGTTAGTGTTGGCAGACCATTCAGCATTAACATAACATAACATGTAGGAGCAGGAGTAGGCCATTCGGCTCTTCGAGTCTGCCCCACCATTCAATCATGGCTGATCTTCTAATCTAACTCCAGCTAATAACCTAATCCTGCCTTATCCCCATATCCCTTAATCCCTTTTGCAATAAGAAATCTATCTAACTCAGTCTTGAATATGTTCAAGGACTGAGCGTCAACAGCCCTTTGGGGTAGTGAGTTCATTGAAAGGCATTGGTCCTGTACCTGACCCTGTTCACATCTGACAACCTACAGATATGCACTTTTTATTCATGGTCTTAATTATTCCCCCCTCTCTACTGTTATAAATGCTAATCAGTATAGATTGGGAGTCTTAACACATGGAACCCATCACCATACTTGCATATCCAAACCACGCTTAGAATTCCACACATGTATGCTACTTAGACATATATTCCTTGCATTTCATATAGCACCTTATCACATCTTCAAGATGTCTCAAAGTGCTTCATAACATGTACTGTCAAGTCAATTGACTGTATATTTTGTGGGAGAAATGTGGCAGCCAATTGCACTCAGCAGTGTCCCACAAACAGTCGTGGATTGAGTGACCAAATTATTATTATTATTATCTCCATACCAGACATGGAGTAGAGGAAATGGATAGGATAAGTATAAACAGAGAGGAAGTACTGAAAAGGTTGACTGCGCTGAAGGTAGATAAGTCACCCGGTCCGGACGGGATGCAACCAAGGTTACTATGGGAGGCACGGGTACAAATAGCGGAGGCTTTGGCTACAATTTTTCAATCTTCGTTGGACACAGGAGTGTTGCCAGAGGACTGGAGAGTGGCCAATGTGACTCCCCTGCACAAAAACAACAACAACAAGATTCCATTTATAGAGCACCTTTCACGTTGGGAGGACATCCCAAGGCGCTGTACAGTTGGGTCAGGAACTGAGCAGGGGGGAAATGGTCAGGGTGAGGGGAGGGAAGGAAGGGAGCGAGGAGGGGGAAGAGAGTCGAGAGGGGAGCTGAAGGCACGGTCAAAGAGAAAGGTCTTGAGACTGGCCTTGAAGGAGGAAAGGGAGGAGGCGGCGAAGGCACTGGGGGATAGAGTTCCAGAGCCTGGGGGCTGAGAGGCTGAAGGCCCGGCCACCGATGGTAGGGTGGTTGGGGCGGGGGATGTGGAGCAGACTGGAGCCAGAGGAACGGACGGTACGGTCAGGTAAGTAGGGGGATAGTAGATCGGAGAGGTAGGAGGGAGCAAGGCCGTGAATGGCCTTGTAGGTGAGGATGAGGATCTTGAATTCGATCCTCTGGGGGATGGGGAGCCAGTGGAGGCGAGCGAGGGTGGGAGTGATGTGGTCCCGAAGCCTGGTGCGGGACAGTACACGGCACGAGCTGCAGAGTTCTGAATGACCTGCAGCTTGTGGAGGGAGGTGCCGGGAAGGCCGGCGAGGAGAGAGTTCCCATAGAAGTCTTCAAAATCATGAGGGGATTTGATAGGTTAGAAAGGGAAAAACTGTTTCCACTGGTGGGTGTGTCGGTGACTCGAGGTCACAGATTCAAAATAGTATCTAAAAGAAGCAGAGGGGAAGTGAGAAGAAATTTTTTCACACGAGTTGTTCGAATCTGGAACGCATTGCCTGAAAGGGTGGTGGAGGCCGATTCAATAACTACTTTTAAAAACGTGGTGGATGGATATTTGAGGAGGACGGGTTTGCAGGCTTTGGGGAAAGGGCTGGGGAGTGGGATTGACATTAATTGCTCTGTTGAAAGAACCGGCACAAACTCGATGGGCCGAATGGCCTCTTTTTGTGCTGTATGATTCTATGGAATGTGCATTCTTTCCCTGGAAAGAGTATCCTGCTTACCTAATTTTGGAGTGTATGATGTACATATTGGCAGGAGCCAAGGCTTGGGAATCCCAGAGAGTGTGACGGGGTACTGCTGGAATATAACCAGCTAAAATCTCATAGCTTGCCATTGAAAGCACTATCTGGCCAGCTTCCTGCTGCCTGTCCAGCTAGGGCACCCTACACCCTTTTGGCTTGCAGGGTTACACCAGGAAGCACAGCTTGTATGGTTTAGTGCTACCCTAAGCTGTGATCTTAATCATTCGCCGCTGATTGTACCTACTTGGAAGAAGTTCCACATGTGTAATTTTGACACTGAATTATAACTTAAAGTACTTCAATTACTCTTACCCTTTGGCTTCCTTTTTCTTTGCTTAAAGTGAATTTAGGAGTTCTTTACAAAATTGCAATTGGGATAAAAAGGAAACAAAATGCTCAACTGCACTTATAATAATATTGAGAGTTCACATCTGCTCCTTTAAACCTATCAAAAAGTTTGAGCAAGTCCGCAGAATATTATAAAATGTTTTTAGGTACTATACAGTGGTTGTTGTTGGGTAAATTAATTTGCTTATAATTCACTTTTTCATATAAGACCAGTTAATCATTATTTTTGTAAAAGAAAGAATTAATCCATTGTGCAGTGTTTTAAAGCAAAAGGAGTTTTTTTTATTGTTTACCCCTTTTTAAAACAATATAATTGTCTGGAAGGCAATACAGCACAGTTACCTGGGATCAGAATCTTTGATGCTGGGTTATAACAAGGCATGAAAAATAATAATATTCCTTGCATTTGATGTAGTAACTTATCACATCTTCGAGACGTTTCAAAGCGCTTCACAGAATATACTGTAAAATGAATTGACTTTAAATTTTGTGGGCGAAACGCAGCAGCCAATTGCGCACAAAAAATGGCCGACTTCTGAGTTGTCTGATCACCACTGACGTCACTTTGTGTGTCTTGCTTGCTATGAGCAGGAAGTGCGGCTGATATTACTTTCTGCGGGAAGGAAGGAACGCCAGTGTCACTTCCTGCTCACATGAACAATGCATAAGATGTGATGACAGCGACCTGATAACCTGGAATTTGGCCATTTTTTAATGAGGTAAGAGGGCTGATCCACGCTAGACCCATTTCCAGTGGGTTCACATAACACCTAGATTAAAAAGTGAACCTGCACTCTAACAAGGAGCTTAATAAGATTGTGGGGTATCTACCCATTGTTCAGGTTGTACAGTAAGAAGTGAACTCTTGTGTAAGTTGTTAATGTTTTACCACCTCAGAATGAATGTATGAACATGCACCACTATGGTAAAGAACTTAGATTTGAAAAGCAGTGTAAATCATTGTATCTGACTAGCTTTTATTAGTAGTTAGAGAGGTATTTATTCAAGAAAACTTTGTCTTATTGTAGCACTTCTCTAAGTAAAAATTAAATCAATGTAAAGAATTGTTTTTTTCCCTTTTATTACTATAGATACAAACTTATTCGCCGAAGGGTGATTTGGTTGATTGGACAGTGGATTTCCGTAAAGTTTAAATCTGAATTGAGGCCAATGCTGTATGAGGCCATCCTTAATCTGATGCAGGACCAAGACCTGGTGGTATGTTTTCAAAAGCATTTTCTATTTTCAGATGAACTAATTTACTTTAATTATTTAAATTCTATACTATAATTATAGTAATAATCCTTGCATTGGATATAGTGCCTTATCATTTTTGAGATGTCTCAAAGTGCTTCTCAGGATATACTGTAAAGTGTATTTTGTGGGCAAGCCAGTTTGCATACAGTAGTGTCCTACAATCATCCATGAAACGAATGACCAATTTTAATTGGGAGATTGTTGACCAGGACACTGGGAGAAACTCCCTTCACTTTTTGAATAGTTCCATGGGAGGTTTAATGTCCAGTTAACAGACAGACAGGATAACAGATCAATGTCAGAAGGACATAAATCTCAGAACTAATGTTAAATTTATCAATGGCAGCATACAATATACAAGCAAACAAGTAATGCTAATCATATAAATCTAGGTTTGCTCTTGAGGGGTCCAGCACAGACACGATGGGACGAATGGCCTTCTTTTGTGTGTCATTCTATGGACGGCACCTTTAGCATTGCCAAGCATCCCCAACGCTACTTTGAAGGGTCAGTCGAGATTATGCAAGTTCAAAATCTTGATGTGGGGCTTGAAACTACAAACTTCTGACTCAGAATGCTCCCAATTCAGCCAGGCTGACACCTAATCGTATTTTGAATTGCAGCACTATCTTACTATCTGGTTCAATGCAGCTAAAAGCCTCCACTCTGATGTTTTTTAATGAAATGCACTTGGGTGATTTGATCCATTTTTTCTAGTGAACATACAATCATAGGGTAGAACAGCTAGTAATTTGAAACTTCCCATCAGCCAGAAATAAAGTGCCAGAGAAAAGCCCTGGGTGGAAAACAAAGTACACTGGGAGGGAAAAAAATAAGCAAAAGTGCAAGGAGCAAAATGAATTCTAGTTATAAATGCTTGTCCTATGTATTCATAGATCATATGAGCACTTTCAGCATGCAATTCAATTTTGTTTTTAGACTTGCATTTCAAAAATAATTACACCTTTGCAATGAAGTACATGTAATGAAGGAAAAGCATAGTATAGAGAGAAATTAAATCAAGCTAACTTCATAATTACAAGTCTGTAGGAGAAATTGTGTTTGCATTCATCTAACTATATGGCTGATTATGTTTCTGGAACTTTACTTCACAAATCCACTTCCTCAACATAAGGAAGTAGATTTTTAAAATTCTTACAGCACAGAAGGAGGCCATTCGGCCCTTTGTGCCTGTGCAGGCTCTTTGAAAGAACTACCAAGTAGTTACACTCCCCCACTCTTACCCCCATTGCCTGCAAATGTTTTCTTTTTAAGTGCCTATCCAATTCCCTTTTGAAAGCTACTAACAAATCTGCTTCCACCACCCTTTCAGGCAGTGCATTCCAGACTGTAACAACTCTCTGGGTAAAACATTTTCTCTTGGTCTCCCTCTAGTTCTTTTGCCAATTATCTTAAATCTGTGTCGTCTGGTTACCAACAGAGGAAACAGTTTCTCCCTAATTTTGAACACCTCAGTTAAATCTCCCCTCTGTTATGTGTCTGCCCATTTCACCAGCTTGCCTATGTCCTCCTGCAGTTGCTACTATCCTCCCTACTGTTTACAACAACAAGATTACATTTGTATAGTGTCTTTCATGTCGGGAGGACGTCCCAAGGTGCTGTACTACATTTCCTTGTTTAGTAGAAGTTTTGTGTGATCTGCAAACTTTAAAATGTTGCCCTCTACACCCAAGTCCAGGTCATTAATATATATTAAAAGAAGCAGTGGTCCTAATACCAACCCTTAGGGACACCACTGTATACCTCCATCCAGTCTGAAAAACAAACATTCATAGCTACTCTTTGCTTTCTGTCGCCCAGCCTGTTTTAGATCCATGCTGCCACCGTTCCCTTAATCCCATGGGCTTCAATTTTACCAACAATTTTGTCAAACACCTTTTTAAAGTCCATAAACCCATCTGTGAGTAGGCTTTCAGAAAGGACATTAATGTTTTGTTGATTAACATTAAAAAAAGCTGGATATATGATCTGTTTAAGTGTAATTTAAGGTTATAAAGGTAAACCGATATGATGAAATACTCCGGGATAATGAGTGCACTGCTGCATGTATAATTGTCTGCAGAGTTGAATGGTAGGGTTTAAAGGTTCACTGTTTTCCAACTGGCTCGGATTTTAGATAACAGAAAAGAGCTGATTGCATGGCCATCTCTTCTCAAGCATTCGAAATGCAAAGACAGAACAGCAACCACCTGAATTGCTGTGCACTGACTGTAGGTGCATCGCATCATGGAGTCCTTTAGCTTAGGGGTTTAGAGCACTCGCCTCGCAAGCGAGAGACCTAGGTTCGAATCCTGGCAGGGTGTAACCTTGGGCAAGTTTCCTTACTCCACACGACTGATAATAATCCTTCAAGAAAAAAAGCAATAATAAATTGGTCTCTTCAATCCATGACTGTTTGTGGGACACTGCTGTGCGCAATCGGCTGCTGCATTTCGCCCACAAATATACAGTCAATTCACTTTACAGTCTATTCTGTGAAGCACTTTGAGATATCACGAACATGTGAAAAGCGCTATATCAAATGCAAGGATTATTATGTTATTACTCTAAACCTAATGATGTTGTGATCACTGCTGTCCAGATGCTCTCCTAGTGAAACCTGCTCCACTTGGCCCACTTCATTCCCCAGAACTAGATCCAGCACTGCTTCCTTCCTCATTGGGCTGGAAACATACTAATCCAGAAAGTTATCTTGCACACATTTCAGGAATCCTTCCCCCTCCTTGCCCTTTACACTGTTATTTTGCCAGTCTATGTTAGGATAATTGAGTCTCCCATTATCACTACTCAATTGGTTTTGCACCTTTCTGAAATCTTCTTACAGATTTGCTCATCTATCTCCTTCCCCACAATATGAAATTTATATTATGTTACAGGATCTACTGTATAGCTTGTTTTCTCCAGTTGTGCATTGTTGCTATTTTCTTTTTATTGATTACAATATAATTGTGGAGTCCTGTAGCTCAGTGGTTAGAGCACTCGCTTTGCAAGCGAGAGACCTGAGTTCAATTCCAGGCAGGTCAGGGCGAAACCTTGGGCAAGTTTCCTTACTCCACACAGAGCCTAATAATAATCCCTCCAAAAACCAAAAACAATAATAAATTGGTCATTTTCAATCTATGACTATTTGTGGGACATTGCTGTGCGCAATTGGCTGCCGCGTTCGCCCACAAATATACAATCAATTCACTTTACAGTGTGTTCTGTGAAGCGCTTTGGGACGTCCTCCTGACGTGAAAAGCGCTATATCAAATGCAAGGATTATTATTATTATTATTTGATGGTCTATAGAATACATCTAACAGATTAACAGCTCCTTTTCTGCTCCTTAACTCGAACAAAATATATTCTGTTTTTGGACCCTCTATCATCCTTTTCCAGGGCCATAACCGTGTCTTTAATCAATATTACCACCCCACCTCCATTTTTTCCCTTCCCTATCCCTCCTGAATACATTGTACCCAGGAATATTCAGCTCCCATTCCTGCCCTTGTTTGAACTAGGTCTCAGTTATTGCCACTACATCATAATTCTATGTGGCAACTTGAGCCTCCGCCGTCTAATCCCTCCTTTTTCTGCACTACTCCTTATTACATTGCTATTCGTCTCTCCCAGTTCTCTAAGTAACTTGTTTCTCCTCCCTGATGCCACATCCAGATTCCTCCCTCGAAATTAGTTTAAACCTTTCCCCACAGCCCTAGTTAACCTCCCTGTGAGGCCATTGGTCCCAGCCCTGTTCAGGTGTAACCCATCCACTTTGTACAGGTCCCAATCTGCTCCAGAACTGGACCCAATGTTCCAGGAACCTGAAGACCTCCTTTCTACACCATTTCTCCAGCCATGCATTCATGTGTTTGATCCTGCTGTTTTGATACTCATTTGTACGAACACTGGGAGTAATCCTTTGAGTTCATATGCTTTAGCTTTTCGTCTAGCTTCTGATACTCTCCCTGTAGGATCTCAGCCTTTTTTCCCCTGTCATGGGTCCCAAAATGGACCACAACTTCTGGATGTTCCCCTTCCTCCGGTAGAATGTTTGGCACCCGTTTCGTGATGTCTTCAACCCTGGCACCAGTGAGGCAACATACCATTCGAAAGAAACGTCTGTCAACCCCTTTCACCGATGTGTCCCCAATGACAATTGCATTGACACTCTTCCCTGTGCCCCTCTGTGCATCCATTTGCTTTTGACTCCTCTCCCCAGAGATGTCATCACCGTGACCGCTATTCAGTACAGAGAGCAGGTTTGTGAGTGCCACACTCTCAAGGGATTTCGGCACTGCCCGTCCCCTCTTCCTACCATGCCCACATAGCACGCATTGTGCATGCAACTAGTCTCAGCTGCCCTGCCGTACTTCCAAACCTATTTTATATTATTTTGGTAAAAACTATTACAAATGTTATAATTATGCACCTCTTTTCCCCCTCTGCACCGAATTCCCACTCTAACCAAATTCCTTAACAGAATTCTCACTCTGTTTCACCTCATTGAGTTCCCTCCTCACACTGCTGGGCTCTCTGCTCATTCAAAAATAAATAATAATAATTTGCTTACTCAATCCATGACTGTTTGTGGGACACTGCTGTGCGAAATTGGCTGCCGCATTTCGCCCATAAACTACAGTTAATTAATTTTACAGGATATTCTGTGAAGCGCTTTGAGACGTCTCAAAGACGTGATAAAGCGTTATATCAAATGCAAGGATTATTATTATCACATGTATAATAGTGATCAAACAGCATGTTTATCAGATGGTTTCATAGCTGGTGTTAAACATCCAATATCCGCAATATTTAGCTGCACAAAATGTTTACAGCACAGGAGGAGGTTGTTTGGCCCATTGTTCTGTGTTGGTACTCGCTTCCATGCTGACACTAATATAATAATAATCCTTGCTTTTGATATAGCCTTTATTACGTTGTCGAGATCCTCCAAAGCACTTCACAGGATATATTGTAAAGTGGTGAGATTGTGTGTATTTTGTGGGTGTTATCTATTATATTACAGATTTAGTAATGCAGTACAAAAGATTTTGCTATATTCACTCCAAACATGGGACTTAATAGGCATAAAAGTATTGTGATTAAGTTCTTTAGGCATTGACTGCCTTCTCACTGAAGGTGTTTGATCATTCATAAAGAATGATCATAAAAAAGGCATTCAATGATATATATTTTCAGGATCGATAAAAAGATGGAATGAAGAATGGTCTTCTCAGTCGACAGGATTCAACCTTACCTGAACTTAGTTAGATTTTCAATGCTAAGAAAACTAGTTTAGGTTCCACGTGCTTCAGTTAGCTGTTTGAGTTGCAAGAAAATGTTGAAATTTTATGAAATAATGAGAGAAAACCTTCATCCTGCAGATGAATTTTAAATCTTGCTAAAAACTTGACATTTTGTCCTAATTTGTAAGCATTTGATACAGTGCCTCATGATAAACCACATTACTAAATGCAAGGATTATTTACTATTATGAAGAATGGTCACCCAGGGTGTCACTGGGTATCAAAACCAGTGAAAATATTCTTGAGCACATTGCATTAATGAAAAGATGGAAGAATATTGGAAGAAAGAATATTGAAATTGTATTCAAACGTATGGAGAAAACGAGACTGCGTTACAATCTTGGTCTTAGTTACAACTGCATTATTAACTGTATTTGGAATTCATATTTTTGACAGGATTATAGAAACCCAAGAGGAATTCTCTTCTGACAGAGTAGAATAGTATCAACAGCACAAACCCTTCAGGGGAAATTGCATTCAGCTCATTCATCTTGATCTGCTCCTCTTTTTATGACTGAAATATTTTGCTCTGGTTATTTTGTTCCTTAATACAACAGAATATGTCACTCATTCAACTTGATTGCACTGTTTAATTCAGTCTGAGCTCTGAAAGTGCAACTGGTTCTTTTGCGTGATACTAAAAGTCCGTCCATTCAAGTAATTTTCTGTTGGAGTGAGTTGCATCTCCTGGTATGTGGCATACTGTCATGCTGCAGTTACTTTGTGATCCTTAGACTTTTGTACAGAGGTGATTCCTTGAAATGTCATTCTGATAACTGCTAGAGATTGGATTGTCTAACCAGGTATGACAGTTGGCTTCTTCAGTGAAACATTAAGTACCTTAGGGTGGGTTAGAATGAACTTTTGATGGATTGAGTATTCAGAGGACGTTATCTGCAGTGGCAGATTCCTGCAATGTGCTTTAAAACTTGAGGTTACAAAACTGTGATGGTGAGGAATCTTTAGTTACTGTAACATATGATAGCACAATGCAACAATAACTAAAGATTCCTTGATTTTATATACAATTATTTTTCTAATTTTCTCCCTTCTGTCTTCTGTCTCCAGTTATCTCATGTTTGGGTGGGGGCTCCACGAGCACTGCTGTCCTCTGGAACCCTGGCCAAGTGGCCATTTATTCATCTATGACCCTTGACTGAGTGGCACCAGTCCACTTAACTGTAGAGGGCACATGCACAACCAATAGAGGGCGCTGATGAGAGCCCTTGATCAAGAACTCAGCTCGATTCCTCTCCCTGACCCTTGCAAACACTGGGCCAATTTAGCCACCTCATGCAGCCATGGTTGAGACCAACAAGCTCCTGGTCCATAATCTGCAGCCTTGACCGCTCTACCATCAGCACAGTCCGAGGCCTCCAAGTTGTTTGGGGTTTGTAAGATAAAATTGATTTGGCTTCAAGTTTATTTTATTCTGCAACTGGAGTTCTCAATAAACGTGTGAGGAAAGGCACCATGCAGCGTAACATTAGGTTGTATAGCTCATGTCATGCAGGTCCTTTGTCTGCATTAAATTAGTTGATCTTAGCTGGGAGTAGTTCTGGGTGACTTTAATTGGCATTTGTAACCCTGAGATTGGAGAGAGGAAAAATCAGCCAGGGTTTCCATACTGAAAGCTGTACAATGACCTTGGCTAAAATGTATATGGTCATATATGGATACTGGGTGAGGGAGGATTGGGCTTTTTGGGAAAGATAAAGTTCTGATGATGTTTCGTGTACGTACAGAAAGTCATTTGCCTTAAGTGCCTCCTCCTCAAAATAGTCCAAAAGTTATTTAAGAAGAAGTTTGGAATGTTGCAACACGTCCAGTTTTATGGTGTATTTCAAGCCCCCAGAGTTATAATTTTAAAGTAGCATGAGCCTCCCAGGCAGGATCAGGGTAATTCACCCCTTATTGTTAATGAAACTAAAACCAAGACAAGACAAACTTTTCAATAAAAATCTCAGCATTTTTTTTAAAAATCACCAACAGAATGTGCGCAGCATTATTATTTTATAATTGTACTTTTAATGTTCATTTTTAAAATCAGTTATATTTTAAATAATTTAATAGGATCTCTTATGGAAGTCTGTGGTACAGAGAGCCATTAAGAGATGGTTTGCTTTCACCATATTTTTGAATTAATTTAATGGAAACATACCTGACATCTATAAAGTATAGTCACATTAAAAAGTGATGTACTTAGAAATATTATTTGCAATACTGTGCTTTACTGGACAACTTGCCAAGTTCCAAATGTCATGATTATACTGTTAAGAGTCAAGCAGATGGATAATTTAGAGAACTTTCAATTATACAAATGCAGCGATGGATTGCAAAGCTGTCCACTTAATAGAAAATTGCCCTTATTATAAAATTTTTCAGTGAAAATGTTGCATAAAGATAAACAGGTTGAAATTGTGGCTTTTATTGACGCAATTAGACAATCATCTGGTCAACTGGGAGTATGCACTTTTGCACATCTATGCACATTGCCACCTGCAGTGAGCCATTGCTCAAACTGATACTTTTAGCTGTTGAAATTGCCTGACCCAGCACATGGTTTATCCGTGTGCAGACAGTGTAGTTGCCTTTTACATGTCTTTCACATGTAAAGATCTTTCACATCTTTCTCATCTGCTTTTTCTATCAGTTGCACACTGCTAGTCCCTCTGCTCCACCGTCAGTGGCCATACCTTCAGCCACTATGCCCCGAAACACTGGAACTCGCTCCCTCAATCCCTCCAGCTTGCCCCCTCCCTCCCCACTTTCAAATCCCGCCTACAGACCTTCTTTTTGGATCGTGCTTACGGTCACCTCCCCCCTCCCTCTCCCCCTCTGTCTATTATCAAACTCCACCACTGTCAAGCTCTCCTGGACTCTACCTTGTATGAAGAACGCTATATAAATACAAGTTGTTGTTATTGTTCACCATCACATTTGGCCTGATGTTCTATTAGAGAATCTTAACATTTATAAAGTAAATATTTCTGTTAAAACCTGTCATTCAGATGTGGTGTCTTAGATGTACTTTTCCTTCTCAAGATACGTTGAAATGACAGAAAATAATTATTTGCTGCCTGTGTTCAAACAAACATTGCATATGATTTAAAAAGCACTAATAAACCTTAAGTAATGATCAATGATTTATTGATGATCAATGATTTCAAGATCCTCACCCTTGTTTTCAAGCCCCTGCACTCCTCTGCACCCCCCTACATCTCTGACCTCCTCTCTCCTCAAAACAGTACCCGTTGTCTTCGTTCCTCCAGGTCTGGCCTCCTCCTCGTCCCCCGATTCCTCTGCTCCACCCTTGGCGGCCGTGCCTCACTCCCTTCGCCTTGCTCCCTCCCTTTCTATTTTCAGATCTCTGCTGAAGACCTTTCTTTTTGACCGGGCCTTTGGTCACCTTCCTCCCCCTCCCCCTCGCTCAGCTCCGGGATCTGTTACTGTGAAGCGCTCTGAGACGCCGTCCGGCGTGGAGGGCGCGATATAAATCCAAGTTGTTGTTGCTGCTGCTGCTTATAAGAAATATATCCGAATGAGTTTATTTGCTTTCAGTGGAATTAATTAAATACACACAACAATGTTTGATTTGAAATAAACCCAATTTCTATGAAGATAATTGAAGTAATAATTGCTTGATTCTGCACAGAAGGCCTTAGATCCAGTGAAACAGTAATTTCTTTTTATTTTTTTCCAGGTCCGTATTGAGACAGCTACAACCCTGAAACTTGATATCCTTTTTGTCGTCTGGAGAATCGCATTATCACACAAAATTGCTTTTTTTTGTTCCGTTTCAGTGCATCAAAGACTGCTCAGCCAACAAATGCATTATTATTATAATAATATTGTGGTGTCATAGTACACTGTATTGTACACTGAGTGATAGAATGACAATGAAAACTCAAGAATTGTTTACCAAAAACAAAGTTGTACATTGTGGATATTTTGCTTTCCCCTACTTTTTTTTCTCATTGATATTCCCTTATATTTGTCATTAGTTTCTCTCCTCTTTCCATCCTCCTGTTCTGCTTTCATTTTTCTCTTTTTCCACCTTTTCTTATTGTTTCTGATGCAGTTTCCTTGTATTTCACCTTGTTCAGTTAACATTTTTCATTATCTTCCTTGGTCTGTTCAACCTTTTGTTTTCCAATGAGAATGAATTGTTTATGGCATCACTGGACCTTCTACTAAATTCAGCTCCTTAAATTGTTGTTTTTATATTCAACAATATCAAAGACTATTATTATGTGGGAGGAGGGGCGGTATTGTGGAAAAACTAATCTCGCAAATGCCTTATTCTTTAACTTGAATATACCTGTAGATGATTTTGAATTCAGAACAGAACAATTTGTACTGGTAAGTCCAACCCTTTTGTATTTAGTATTTTCTGGTCCTGAATTTTTTTATTAAAGAGAATCAGTATGTTTGATAGCCACTTTGCGGAAAAGGAATGGTTTGTATGCAACTAAAAGTAAGAGTATTGTAGAGTAAGGAAGTGATGCAAATGATAATTGTTTGCTGCAGTCCTCTCATGTGGTCTCATTGATGCAATATAATTTGCTGGATTTGGGACTGATGACTGATTAAAATAATAATCCTTAAATTTGGGCTCTATTACACATTAGGAAGATGATTCAAAGAAATATTTCTTTAGGTCACTATTTTTTGTGTACAGATAATGTTCTAATTCACCTTTATAACTGACAATTCTAATATCACCATTCTGCCTTTGTCTTGGAGAGCACAGTGGGAGAGAGTCACTGCATAGAAATCTCAGATAGCTGAATACATCTTTTGTGTAGCTGAAATCAAGCCTGCAGTTCAATTTCCCCTTTTTTCTGAGTGCACAGAATAGGTCCAAATGGTGCTAATTCTCACTAATTGGTGGTAAAGTCCATCAAAAGAGCTGCTTTACGTTTGAATCTTATAAATTGAATGGTCCAGAAATATTGCTTTCAGTCAAATGTATTCTCTAACACTCACATCCCTTTTATGGGTACACTATAAAAGAAACTGTTTGAAAAGAGATACAGTTGTCTATATTCATTTAATCTGTGGTTCCATTGCCCCCAAGACCATTCTGGTCTCCACACACAGCCAGGAGCCATTCTTGACGTCAATGATGAAGCCCATTTGTCAGTATTTCCAGGGGGAACCCCACAGGCCAGCATGCAGTGATCAAGGATCCTTAGCAAGGGGGATCTGTGCCAGGAATATTTAGTACCAGCTGAGCACATGGTAGATAATGGATGACTTGAATTTTGGCAGCTTGGATATTTCTCTATTAGCAACCAAGACTAAACCTGGCTCCCAGCAGACTTCAATGTGGGATCACATAGGAATAAGTCTTAGCAGTAGAGTGCCTTCCATCTGTGTCTAGTAATCTGAAGTGGAGAGAATAAATGAATCTCTTTCCAGGGATGATTTTCTTTAAAATTCATTTTTAAGCAAATTTAGTTTTGGGGAAAAAGTAACTTAATGAAATGTTTTCTTCTCTTCCCATTGCTCCTCCACTACACAAGCACATGCGCACACAACCACATGCGCAGAATGTCTAATAGTCTTTTTATAGACGACTTAAATTATTGCTTTTTCCCTCCTGGAGTTTAAATGTTGAGAACTGCAAGCTTGGCAAAAACTCACATTGAAGCAAGATAATCAATAGGATTATTTATCGTGCAACTGTTGTTTTGTGAATTGCAGTAGAGGATGCTGCATCAGGAATGTTATACAATTGGGGATGTCAATTATTTTTGCATTGTAAACAAGCCTGATGAATGTACATTATTACATTGAGTCTTTATTGTTGTCCTGCAGTACTTGGAATCCATTTTCAGTCTACTCTTCCAGTTGCTTCAACAAGCCACAGAATGTGATACGAAGATGCATGTATTGCACGTAATTTCATGCGTCATCGAAAGAGTTGGAGTGCAGGTAATCTTTGATCACTCGGGCAGAAGCTTTTAAGAACCAATTATAATCCATTAATCAAACTTGCTTAGGAAACCCTTTTTTCTCACATTTTAGTTCTCCTGTAATCATGCTGAGGTGCTTTGGGAAATATTACAGAAGGTTGAGGAGAGTGGGGCACATTTTGTTTAATTTACTGGATGTATGAATATAATACTTAGCAAGAAATAAAACTTATTGCACCCTGCAATTTATCTGGGTCTCTTGTTAATATCATTAGATGCTTTTTGAGTGTTTTGCCCAAGTGGGATACAAATGAACTAGTTGCTTGTTAGGAAGCATTTCTTTTATTATGCATTCCCTTGTTAAGTTAGCTCAACAGAGAACTATGACACTGTTATTACCACCTTTGCACTGGGAGGTTGTACCTCCCAGTATTTTGACCCTTTTTTCATGTCCACTGATTTTATTTCCTTAATGAATGAATGACTGCAGAAATTGCTATATGGGGAATTGAAGATTAAACAACAACTTGCAGTTATACAGCGCTCTCCACACAGGGTAGCGTCTTAAAGCACTTAAAATTTTATTCCAATTTAATCTTTTAATTCTGCTTCAAAATACCAGTCTCTGCACTTTGCAGTAAATTATTTAAAGAGCTTGAGACATCCTTCCGATGTGAAGGAAGCTATATCAAATATAAATATGATGATTATTTAATTTTCTTCCCTTTATGTCTTTCCTTCTGATGGTGGTAACTTCTGCTGGTCGAGTTCCACAGATACCCCCATGGTGCTATATCCCAGTGATAGTTTGTTATATATGATCCTAGACATGTTGTTAGTCGATTGGCGGATCTCTTTTCCGTGGGTAATAATTTCTTCAAAATAAATTTAAATTTTTTAAATAATGGTCACTCAATCCACGACTGTTTGTAGGACACTGCTCTGCACAATTGGCTGCTGCATTTTGCCCACAAAATATACAGTCAATCCATTTTCCAGTATATTATTTGAAGTGCTTTGAGACGTCTGAACGGCACTATATCATATGCAAGGATTATTATTATTAAGTACCATAGAGCTAATTGACTGAGAGGCATCACATTTAAGCCTCTGACCTACTACCTCATTCACATATGTGCTGTTCCTGGAAGCATTCCAGTGCCTTGAGACGTCCTCCCGATGTGAAAGGTGCTATGCAAATGTAATATTGTATTGAATTCCTGGATAATAATCAGGATGGGATCCATGTCATTTTTTAAAATCCCTCCTCAATTTGGTGTATGTAACAAACACCATACCATGCCCAAGATCAAACCGGGGATCCTCTAGTTTGGTATGGCGCATGGCCAGGTACCATTTGGTAATGGTCTCATCTCCGGGTCAGAGATTATGAGTATGTGTGCTTTGTAGATTCTTTATGTTCATAAGCTGACACTCCACTGCAGTATTTTTGGATGAGACATTGAATCAAAGTCTGTTTGTTTATGTGAATATTAAACTGACACTTTTGAAAAAGAGAAAGGAGTTTCTCCCACTATCCTGGCCAACAATTGGTCATCGCTTCATGGCTGTTTGTGTGAATTTATAGGACCCAAATAGGGTTTGCCTAAAAATGAATTTCCTGTGAAATATTTTGAGACATTTAGCTTTTGGGGAACTGAACTGTTCTAATTTTGAAATAAAACTTATTAGAAAGGAATAAAATATTTTTTTACTTAAGTATTTTAAAAAATCAGTGAGTGCCAAGTAGCTGAGAAATTGAAATTGTGTCAATTCTGTCATTTTTATTTTTTGAATATCATTTTATTTTTCCCTTAGTTGGGAGGGTTTTACAAAATATTTTGATTGACTCAAATCCTGATTTTGAGGCTTTGTTTTAAGCCAGTCAAAATCCTAGATTTTAATAATTTACATGAATATCTTGCAGATAAATAATTATTGCATTTAATATTGTTCTTATCCTGTTAGGAGAACACTTCAGAATAGGATTCATAGGATTTATTGTGAAGTGTAGCAACTGTAAATTCTGTTAGGCAAACACAGCAGCCAGTTTGCGCACAGCAATGTCTCACATACTGCTTTGAAATAAATGACCAATTATGAATAAATAAACACGACAAAGGAAACGTTTATTTTACTTTTTTTTAATAAAGTGTGTTGAGATGGTTTGAGCTATTTGGATTTGGTTCACTAGAATACATCTGCAAATATTTGAGCTGCCTAATTGCTTTCTCTTCAAGACTAGATGGAGAGAATAAGAAAAGTAAAGAAAACATCAAATGTCAGGTTGCTAGTTACATTGGCAAACATGCAGTTGGCTTTAATAGCATTTTGCACACTAATATCTGCAGGGAAAATCTGATTATAATTGATCATTAGGCTAGCTATGTTCTCATTACCATTTATTTTAATGTATTTTGGCAATTAAAGAATTTGCTATTGTAAATTCCTGACCTTGTGTGACAGGGGTGGGGGGGAAGATCCATTTTGTTAATTTTATACTTGCAGCTAAGTTTGAAGATTCAGGTACATTTTATATTTATAAATCAACTAAAATACTTCACTCAACGTAGACTGACTAATGCAACAATATCTTTCAAAGGCATGGTATCCAATTTTGGAAGATTGATCCTGATTTTCTGTGATGGTTTGAAGGTTTGCATCTGAGTTGATCTGAAATCTATGAAAAAGAGAAGTAATTAGTTGTACAAGGAACACAATCCAAGTCTAGCAAATGAAACAATAGCATCAACACAACAACTTGTATTTATATAGCTCCCTTCACATGGGGCAGCATCTCGGAGCGCTTAAACACGCAAGGCTTTTTTCATCTTGAGCAAAATAGAAACAAATGAAAAGGTAAAAGTTGTTTTGGCAGGACAGGGTTTTAACATGCCTTTACAGTGTTGATTGCATCGTACCATGTTGATGCAGTTTTGCTTTTTATTCTGCTTAATGGGTAATGCATTGCGTTTATTACAAAATCCACTGCTATTTGTTTTAATTAGTTGCATTGGCTTTAGCAGAGCCTGGTAGCGATTATGCTGGTGTTTGACTGTCGAGGAGACAGGATTTCTAATGATATTTAACTCATGCCTAACTTAAGGCTGTTAGCCAATCAATGTAGAGAGAGAGAGAAAAATACCTAGAAGGCGATACTTGCTTATTTTCTCAAATGTTCCACTTAGTGGACTAATCAAACCACGATATTGATTGGCGACACATTAGAGATGCCATTCATGTATTGAGCACGGCAAGGCATTACAAAAATAAAATCCCCAGATTTTTTTAAAATGGATAATTGGGAAGCAAACATTATATAATATTAATTTTCTAAAATGAGTCTCATGAATTGCTAAGGGTGAATTAAATTGTTTTGCAGATATTTTTCATACTTGCAGTCCTGGAGTTTGAAGGGTGCTATATAAATGCAAGTTGTTAAGAAATTGTTTACAAAACTGAGTTGGAATGTTGTTTACGGCAATTAATTTTTTTGAATTATGCAGCGTTTGTATCAGTTCTGCCACAATAATGACGTGTACGTAATGTGGTACAATGTGATTTATGTCATTAAATTGTTCGGAGTTGATGCAGCTTGTAAACGCATGGGATAAATAAGATATCCACCACTGATGCATGTTCTAGGAATGGTTTCTGTAAGAATTTTATTTGCACAATTTCAAAAAAGATTTTGTCTTAATACTTTGCTTTAAATTTCACAGATTCGACCTCATGTAGGCTGCCTGGTACAGTATTTACCTTTGCTTTGGAAACAATCTGAAGATCACAATATGCTGCGATGCGCAATCCTCACAACACTTATTCACCTAGTTCAGGTAGACTTTTATCAAGTGCATCTTTTCGATTAATTTCAAGCTGTATTAAATTTCATCCCTGTGCTAGGAAATTAAAACCTCTACAATTATGTTTGTGTTGTGTTTAAAAGGGTAGTGATTTCATTGAATTGTTGCATAATTATTAATATTTTAAAGACTGGTAATTGATGCCACAATTGTTAACTTCTGGCAGGACCTCTTTGACACGTGCAAACAGGTCACAAGATGAGATGCGGAAGTATCCCAGTACTCAGTAAATGTCACCTCAGTCTTTGTGACATTTTTACCCATACCAACACTGAAGATAGACAACGAGGCAAACTATCACCTACACCAGGGTGGCCCATTTTTTTGTTTGCCGCGGGTCGCATTCCCTGTTTGGGAAAGGTCTGCGAGCTGCATAAGGAATATTTTGTGTTTCCATTCCAGAAACAGATTTAATTACTGTCCAGTTAATTGCAATTCCAATTCCATCAGGTTTGTTTTATGAATAAAATATTTGTCCTCTGCAAAAATGCTACCTAATGTGAACAGTGCATAAACATTTCCAAAGATGCTTTTCCAAAGATGCTTCTTCAGCTTTAGCCAAATAATCTCCCAATGATGATCATCAAATTGCAATTTAGAAAGCTGATTTGCTTCCTTTGATGTCCTGCACCTTCTGTACTCGCAGGCCTGTCAATCCAATAAAAATGCCTATCAATGAGAAAGATGTAAAGAGCACCTGAGGGAATAATAAACGGAATCCGGTGATTTAATATTAACACATGATATACCATATAGCATTCTGTATACCGAGTGCAAGTTGTTTTGCAGCAAGCCTATTTCCATTAACAACCTACATATTTTAGTCAATAATATCCATGATTACATGATCATCATTCATAATGGTCTGAGCAGAAACATCTCTTTTCTCACTTTTTTTTCTCTATGTATTTTATTCCCCCCCCACACACATACACGCATATAGTATCAAGCAGGATGTTAATGAATATTCAGGGTGGTTTCTCACAAAACAGATTCTCAATCTCAGCTATGATACTAGTTTGACACTGAATGGAACCATCTACTTCCCTAATAATGTGGGAATATAGTGTGTTTAGTGAAGATTTTGCAATTTAATGATATCAGATCTTTAAATAGAATAAATCTGAAGAAATGTGAATGAGAGAAACTACAATATTGCACCAAACTAATTGAGTTTGAAACTAATGCATTCTGATTTGAAGATAGTCTGAACTGACTTTCGCAAAACACTTTTAATCTAAAGCAAGGTATTAGTTATTTCTCAGCTTCCAGATAGGAGGGTTTGTGGTGAAATCAAGCAACATCTGTCATTTTGATTAAATGAAATTATTTTGTTTCTTGAAAGATTGGTATGTTCCAATCTTGAAAGCGTATAGAGATCTGAGTCATTCAGATGGCTTTAAATATCCACGGTGAAATAGAAGGGAAATGGTCCCATAATTAAGCTGTGCAGATATCTATTTTGAACAAGGAGCTCACAGTTTCATGGTTTGCTGAGACAGGTTAGTTTTACCCTACCAATGATGTGTTGTTGCAATAGTAATCCTGCTCAGTACAAGAGGAACCGCAGGTTCAGTTTAACTCAAGCAAGATCCAGAGAAACAATTGAAATTGTGCATTAAATCAAAGCTTCTTCAATGTAAAGATGTAAAGATCTGCATCATATTTGACTGAATTTACTTTATGGTCATGTGCCTCTGCTTGGATCACAGAGATGGGATGCACCATCCTGTGAATTTTGTGTACAGTATTTTGGGTTTGATCCTTTAAATAAAATGACATAGAATGTTGAGGCATAGAAATGGTTTCATTCGGCCCGACCAGTCCGTGCCAGTGTTTGCTCTCCACGTGTGCCTCCACCCCTTCTAATCCTCTCTCCTCTATTCCCTTCACTCTCATGTATGCATCAAGTCTCCTTTTAAATAGGTTGATGCTTGATCGAATCTTCATGGAATTAAAACAGTAATAAAATTTGCTTCACATACTCGTTGTGCTTAGTTATGTGTCTGTGTTAAAAGTAAGATTTTTGTTTTAATAATAGATACAATTTTTTTTCAAAAAGAAACTTGGGGAGAGAAGAATATGGAAGCTTACTTCGAATTGTTTTTATTAATGCCCCAGTATTTACACAATCATTTTTGAATAGAAAGAAAAATGCGTAGAGGAAAAACAAGCATTTTGCTTTTTGAGTTCAGAACTTTTTAAACTTTTTTTATGGATTTAGTTTCTTTTATTCTATGAAGAGAATTTACTTTGTGTTTTGTTTACATCTCTATAGGGCTTGGGAGCAGAGAGCAAGAATCTCTATCCGTTCTTGCTGCCTGTCATTCAACTGAGTACAGACGTCTCCCAACTTCCCCATGTTTACCTCTTGGAGGATGGTTTAGAATTGTGGTAAGTAGACTTTGGTGATGCACTTTGATGGTGAGTTCTTCAGTGAAATAAAGAGCACACTGAGAAAAATGCTTCTTCTAGATCGTAGTGTTATATTACTTATTCTCTGGCTCAATCCCAGCAATGTCTTTGTACACACAGGTATTCTAAAAAAAGAACTCCTTTTCTTATCCTGCACAGTATAGGCAAGTTTTTTAAAAAAAAAAGTCTTTGATCCACTAACTGAAATTCCTTTTGGTGACTTGTACCACATTTACTGAAGCATTTTAATTATCGATGATCCATATCATACTCGTGTGCCAGTTTGATTCAGTTGGTAAGTACTCTTACCTCTGGCTCAAAAGGTTGTGTGTTCAACCCTCATGTGGTGAATTGAGCTCATTGTCCATTCTGTCTCTCCAATGTAATACTGGGGGGATTGCTGCATTGTCAGAAGTGATGTCCTTCAGATGAGTTGTGAAGCTGTCAACCTGTTAAGGTGTATAGATGAAAGAGTTTTGGGCAGTTGTAAGATATGATTTCAACCTGTCTTCAATAAAAAAAACTGTTGTGTTGGAAAATAATGCTTTCTTTAACTTTTCAGGCATCTTAGTAATAACATTGAAGGATTAGACCATAAAAGTAGTGCAGTGAATATCTTTAAATTTCTTGCCTCGATGACACAGTAAAGGATCATGTTTTCCATAGCGTGAAGCATTCCTCAACACAATGTGCAAGACTTTTGTAAGAATTGCAGATTCTAATTACATGGATATTTAGTTCCAGAGAGCAGCTGTTCAGTTTATTTCCTAATTTAATTTATTTTTTTCAATGAATATTAGGCAACTTACTTACAACCCTTGCCTTTTGAGGTTTGATTTGTAACAATGTGATTGAATTTGTCCTTTGAGGTTTGTGAAATATAATTCCTTGACTGGCAACAAATGGAGATATTTTCTTAACTGAAAAAAATAATTTCAATGATTTCTTCTGTATTTTAAGAGGCGTAATTAAAAAAAATACACAACAAATGTCAGTTTTTCTTGACCTGTCAAGGGGTATCTTAAAACCAGCAATAAAGAGGTGAATATTGTCCATCCTGCTCTCTTCTGGCCTCTATGTTGTAGTTGTTTAAATGTGTAAAAAGTCTAAAGAATATTTGTGTCAACGGAATTTTGATTTTTGATTTCTAGGGTCACTTTTTTGTTTTGAAATTTAAAGTTTTGTATGTGGAAAATATTTGACTAAGGAACTACTTGTAAACCTTTTAAAAAGTGCATTTAATTTACTAGAGTGACTTGACAGTATACTTTGAGAGCGAAACGCGGCAGCCAATTGCGCACAGCAGTGTCACTCAGTCACTCAGTCCACAAAACAGTCGTTTTGTGGACTGAGTTTTTTTTAAAGAATTTTTACCCCCGGAAATTGATCCGCCAAACAACTAACAACTTGCTTCCTACTTACTGCTAGGTAAACAGAGGCGTATGGAGTAACAAAATGTTTCACCCTTGACGTTAAAGCATACAGTCAATTCACTTTACAGTATATCCCGTGGAGCGCTTTGAGACATCTCAAAGACATGATAAGGTGCTATATCAAATACAAATATTATTATATTTTAGGTACAACAATAGAATTACATTTATACAGTGCCTTTCACGTTGGGAGGATGTTCCAAAGCTCTGGACAGTCAGTGTTTCGGACCCAAAAACACTTAGTGTCAGGGAAGCCAGTGGAGTTGCGCAAGGATGAGGGTCATAGGGTCATGGAGCCTGGTGGGGGAGAAGGCACGGGCTGCAGAGTTTTGGATGATTGCAGCCTATGGAGGGAGGAGTGGGGAGGGCGACAAGGAAGGAGTTTGCATCGTCAAGCCTCGATGTTATGAATGGTGGATGAGAGTTTCGGGGGCCTCGGTGTGAGACAGTGGAGGAGCCGGGTGATGTTGCAGAGGTGGGGAAAGGCAGAGCAGGTCATGGCACGGATGTGGGGTAGAAAGGATAGTTGAGGGTCAAACAAGACGCCAAGATTATGGACTGGCTTGCTAAGGTGGAGTGTGCATCCGTGAATGGTGATGCTGTCAGCTCCTGAGGCGTGGAGGCGCTGACGGGAGCCAATCAGGAGAGCCTCGATCTAGGTAGGTCTTAAAATGGGATTTAAAGATAAAGGAGGGGTGAGGCAGGGGGGTTGAGTCGGGTAGTTCCATAGATTCCAAGCATATATTTTAGCACATATTAAAATCTGTTATATACGCATAACAGATAGTTCAGTTTGCAATAAAAATACACCTAACTAGTAAATTGGCCCATACCAGGATGGCAATAATTTGGACAAGGATCAGAGGCTGGGCAGATGGCAGAGAACACTTGCCAGAGAGCAGGACCTGTGAATGAGTGCTTACCCTGGTCCCTGGTGCAGAATAGGCTCATTAAATGCAGATGTTGATTTCTACCAATATTCTACCAATAACCACCAAATTCCGTTCAGAAGGGGTGCTGAAAATATACTTTTAATTATTGTTTCCAGTGCCTTGGGACGTCCTCCCAATGTAAAAGGCACTATACAAATGTAATTTTGTATTGTATAATGACCTGGACAAGGATTTAGCATTTCCCAGGGTTTACTAATAATTTAGTAAGGTCGGTCAATGCTGCATAGATTCTGCACAAATCAATTATGATCAGATTTTCAAATTCTGATCTGTGAGCTAAAATGTTAGTAATTAAGTACCTAGGGGGTAAAAAATCTGTTTTTTAATTCATTTCAAATCTACACATGCCGTTTGAAAATGTATCCTGTTTGAATATGTGTTGAAAAATGTTGCCTCTGTACCAGGAATAATTTTAATTTTTTGGATAATTGGATTATATTATGAGCTAATACAATCCACATTCATTAAACAGTGTTTGAGAGACAATTTAGTTTGCTTAAATTAATATCAAGAATCTTAAATTAAAAAGGAACTACGCATCTGACTTACCTGACGTACCTGAATGTTACACAAGGGACTATCTGTACATTTATTTACCTGTATTTTTCTGTGTTCGGAAGTGCTGTTTCAAGGCTACCTGTGAACAGAAGTTTTATGTTGAATTCTACTGGTTGTAAATTCCTCTCTGCTGTTGTGACCGTAGGACAGTTTACTGTATAATTCAAGTGGAAATTTCACATATGATCAATATCCTAAATAGCTTCTGGCTTTTAGTTTTATGTGTCAGCCTGGATCTAGGGTTAGCACTTTCACCTTTGAGTCCAAGTTGCAGGTTCAAGTCCCATTTTGGGACTTTGAACTTTCAAGTCTTGGCTGACACTCCAATGCAATGCTGGGGATGGACTGCATTGTCAGATGAGAGTTTTAACCGAGATCTTTCCTGTCTGTTCTGGGGGATGTTAAAGATCCCATGGCACTGTTCAAAAAGAGAAGGGAGTTTTTCCCAGGGTTTTGGCCAGCAATCTCCAAATGCTTCTGTTCACTTTTTTTTGAGCCTTTCACACACAATCAAAACAAATTCTAGCCAAACATGTTCTAATCTCATCCATTTATGCAGCTCACATAAAGCTGTCTGTATCCCGGTGTTGAGATTTCATTCTACCTTGTTGATATTATCTTAACTTTAATATAAGTTCTATGTTTTTTCAGTCTTTGATAGATACTGCAGTTATAATGAAAAAAGTAATAGGATGGATAAAGATATTAAACTGTTACCTGGAAGCCTTTTAGCATTCTCATTGTTTGGTTCATTTCTAAAGGTGTCCTTGCACACATTTAGAGCTTTCAATATAAAACTTTGTCCCTGGTTATTAGAACTTCATATTTTGGGAGTTTTTCTTTGCATGAAATGGGCAATGACGTGCTAGTCTCCTCAATGCTCAACTATGGAAACTCCCTCTTTGTCGGCCTCCCCAACTCCTCTCTCCACAAGCTGCAGATCATCCAGAACTCTGTAACTCGTGTCCTCTCCCGCACCAGGCTCTGTGACCCCACCCTTGCCCTACTCTACTGGCTCCCCATCCCCCAGAGGATAGAATTCAAAATCCTCATCCTTACTTTCAAAGCCCTCCACGTCTTTGCCCTCTCCTACATCTCTGACCTGCTGACCCCCTATCAACCTGTCCGCTCCCTCCGCTCAGCTGGCTCTGGCCGGCTCCTGGTCTCCCGCCCTACCATCGGCAGCCGGGCTTTCAGCCTCTCTGCCCCCACTCTTTGGAACTCCATCCCACAATCCCTTTTCCTTGCTCCCTCTCTTGCCTCCTTCAAGGCACGACATAAGACCCGCCTTTTTGATCGTGCCTTCAGCCGCTCTCCTACCTCCTCTGCCCTCCTCATCTCAACCCAGGTCCTGATCCCTGACTGTTCAGCTCTTTGGGACATCATCCTGATGTGAAAGGCGCTTTACAAATGGAATTTTGTTGTTGTTGTTCCTCAATTTTTTGTTTTATTTTGTAAGCTTGAAATTTGATAATTGAAAAGCAGAGGTTGAGCGAACAATAACAACAACAAACAGCAGCAAAATTACATTTATAGAGCGCCTTTCATGTCTGGAGGACATCCCAAAGCACTGAACAGTCAGGTGTCGGGGCCCGAGCATGGGGGAGGGGTGGTGTCGGTGTAAGGGAAGGCAGAGAGGTGAGAGGGCAACCTAAGACACGATCGAAGAGAAGGGTCTTGAGACCAGCCTTGAAGGAGGCAAGGGAGGAAGCGAGGCGAAGGGACCATGGGATGGAGTTCCAGAGTGGGGGCAGAGAGGCTGAAAGCCCGGTCATCAATGGTAGGGTGGGTCGGGCGGGAGACATGGAGCAGACCGGAGCCCGCTGAACGGAGGGAGCGGGCAGGTTGGTAGGGAGTCAGCGGGTCAGAGAGGTAGGAGGGGGCAAGGCCGTGGAAAGTGAGGACGAGGATCTTGAATTCCTTCAAGTCCCGCCTCAAAACCCTCCTCTTCGACCATGCCATCGGTCACCCCCCTTCCCCTCCCCTCCCTTCTCCCTCCCGGACCCCAGCTCAGGTCTGAAATGCTGTACACTGTCCAGCACCTTGGGACGTCCTCCCGAGGTGAAAGGCGCTATACCAGTGTAATCTTGTTGTTGTTGAAGTGAGTCTTTAACATAATGTGATGAAATTGGAGATGACCCATAATAAACTTATCAGGGTATGCCATATGTGAACTGGTGTCAGTGCAACAGAAAGTCAGTTTTTTCTGGTAGACCTGCAAGAGTACAAGTTTAAAGCTTTCGAAGGGGATGACAAAGACAACATGAAGATCTCATAGTAGCCCTATTATTGATACAAGATTAGAAATTATCTATATTGCGTGTTTCCATTTTATTCAGTATACAGTGTAAAAACTGAGTTAGCAGATAAGTGGTTAAGCATCTTAGATGTATGAGTATTGCAGTCTGATATAGACCATGGGTCGCTCAGAATACTTCACAAGAGTGTGTCATTGAGGAGTTTAAATAACCATCATAAGTAGGTGGAATAAAAGTGGCTGAGCATTACATAAACTCCACAAGGACATAGGTTTTAAAAACAGTTTGAATTTTATTGAAAAAAAGTACTGCTACCGGAAATCTGAACCCAAACCAGAAATCTACAGGAGATGAGTTAGTATCTGAAACAGCAACAATAGATTCACGTTCCAGTCATAAGCTTTTGAGGGAAAATGTTATATACAGTTAGAGAATGGGAACTTAAAAATGTATTAATAATTGTTTTTTAAAAAAAGAAATTAGTATGCGGTCTGAGTGTGGGATGCTATTGATGCATCCCGACCCAACTGTCCAGCAGCTTGGGACGTCCTCCAGACGTGAAAGGCGCTCTAGAAATGAAATCTTGTTGTTGTTGTTGATGCAAGACTGAGGTGACAAAGCCCAAGGTAGAGAGGAAGAAACCAAAGCAGATGAGATGGCAGTAACAATGTGCAAAATTGCAGCTTGATGTTTAAGATATTAAAGTTGATGTTTCACTAAGATAAAGATACTGATTTTGGCATTTGTGTTAGGCTTGGTTGGTTTAGTGTTGGATGCCAAGTATAGAGAGGTCAAAATGAGAATGAATGAAAGTGGTTAGCCAAATAAAGATTGTATGAACTGAACAGATGTTCAGCAAATATAATCTCACAGTCTGCATTTACTCTCCTACCCTGTTCCTGTTGTTGTTGTTTTTGGTCTGATCCAAGAAGAGGAGATTTCACATGTGCTCCATAGTTTTTATTGTATATAGTTGAGAGTTGGCATAGGTTTATTGGGATTTCAATGCTTTCTATAATGTTGATATCTGATGGATTAATGATTGTTTTTAAAAACAATTTGCAATTATATAGCATTTAGGGGAAATGGGAATAAAAGATGTGCCACAATCCAATTAACTTGGCAGAAAAGATAAAGAGCCTTCTTGTGTTACTAGTTTTACATTGTCAACCTCTCACTGTCCACTTCCACCCTCTTAAAAACAGCAGCTTCAAAAATTCTTCCCTTGAATTATCTCTGTTCTCTGCCGTCCCTTCTCCAACCTTCCTTTTCGCTTCAAGGCCCTGGAATGAGTCATTGCTTCCCAGCTTCTCTCTTTCTTCTCCCACCACTCCTTGTATGAATCCCTCCAATCTGGTTTCCATGCTGCCCACAATACAGAGACAGCTTTAGTCTTAAGTTACAAATAACCTCTGTCCATCTGTGACCAGGGCTCTCTCGATATCCTCGTCTTCGATCTCTGCCACCTTTGACACTGTTGACCTATTATTCTCTACAACCTCTCCTCTTGTTGAATCCTCAAATATCTTGTTAAATTCCACATCCATGCCATAACCCGTTCTGCCACCCCTTACCTCTGTAGCATTGCCCACCTCAGTGTATTTTGAATACAAAATTTGAGCTAGCACCAGAGAAATCGTTATGAAACTGCTGAATTGTCATTAAAACTCAACTGGTTCACTTTAGCCCTTCAAGGAAAGAAAATCTTCTTGGTCTGGTCTCCATTTGACTCCTATATAGTTGACTCTTAAAATGTCCTCTGAAATGGCCTAGTAAGCCACTCAGTTGTAAAAATTCACTATGATGAAGTATAATCAGCTGAATTTAATTAACTGAATTACCACTTAATAAAGAAATGTGACACTTGTAAAGGTCGGGTTAATGGCAGTAGTGCTGTATTGCTCTTTTGGGTTGTCAAGAGCAAAATTGTTGCGTGGTACCTGCCTGAAAGGGCAAGAGACTGAGGCCACCTCATAATCAACACTGTTTTCAGTGAAGTTGTGAGAGATGTTACCACAGCAGCAAAATTATATTTGTATAATGCCATTCACGTCAGGAGGATGTCCCAAGGCGCTGGAAAATCCATGTTTTGGACCTGAGCTGCAGGTTGGGATCTGGGAGGTGGAGGGCAGGGGGGGAAGGAGGGTAATCGAAGGCGTGGTTGAAGATGAGGGTCTTGAGATGGGTCTTGAAGGAGGGAAGGGGTGAGGCGCAGTGACTGCAGGATGGAGTTCCAGAGGGTTGGGGTAGAGTGGCTGAAGGCTCGCCCGCCAATGATCGAGGTGGAGGACTTGAAATAGGCAGGGCCCGCTGAGTGGAGGGAGCGGGCAGGTTGGTAGAGGGTTAGGAGATCGCAGAGCAAGGTCATGGAGGGCTTTGAAGGTGAGGACCAGGATCTTGAATTGTATCCTCTGTGTGATGGGAAGCCAGTGGAGTCGGGTGAGGATGGGGGTGATAGGGTCACGGAGCCTGGTGTGGGAGAGGACACGGGCTGCAGAGTTCTGGATGACCTGCAGCCTGTGGAGGGAGGAGTTGGGGAAGCCGACAAGCAATGAGTTTGCATAGTTGAGCATCGATGTAATGAAGGCGTGTATGAGGGTTTCGGCGGCCTGCGGTGTGAGACAGTGTTGGAGCCGGGCGATGTTGATGTTCAGCTGAAGAAAGTTAGCTCTCATCCAGGACTTAATGTCTGACAGACGTTAGAGTGTTTGAGAATTCGAATGAACAATTGTAATCCTGTTATATTGTGTGCTTCTGATTTCTGTGTAATTATGTATTGATGTAATAATTGAGCTGGGTGATTAGACTGATGTTCTAAAGGGTAAATTGTGTGTGTCTGAGTGAAACGCAGAGGTAGCTCATTGAGAAGTTAACATTATTTTAGACTTGTCAGTTGTTACTGCTTACTTGTTTATTTGGAACTTCAAGATATTTTCAATGGACCTTATTTTAAGTTTTTTTTTAATTGCCATCTTGTAGGTTAGTGACCTTGGAAAACAGCCCATCTATCACTCCAGAGCTCCTTCGAGTCTTCCAGAATATGTCTGCTCTACTTGGTAAGTAGAGTCTGGTGTTTGGGGCTTGGGAATCTTGTGATTTTTAAAATTAAGAAAGTTTGTGTAGAAATTCTTGTTGGACAATTCTTTTCTCCCTCATTTGCTATAAACACAGCTGTAATATTAGGATCATTCTTTTGTCCTTCCACCTTAAAAATCCAAGATCATTAAATTGTGCTGTCTTAGATTTTACAGTTGAAAATCTTAAGTCTCGCTGCTTCTTCCTCTTATGCAGTTAGATTGTTAGATGAAAACTGATAATGTTCTTTTAATTACTTTGTTACTGGTATTCAAGTATCTCAATTCAGTAAATGAATAATTTTTAGACAAATGATGGCATTCTTGTAAATAGTTCATTTCAGTTCACTTGATATCATAGTAATTCATGGAAATAAAATCAGAAAATGATGTGAATAGACTGCAGTTCAGTTAGCATCTGTAAGAGAAAGAGAAATTTGGGAATATCTTTTTTTTATTTCAGATTTTCACTATCCACTGTTTTGCTTTTATCTGTGTGAGAGAATTAGTTGATTTTTCTTTGTTCCTTCCCTATTTCTTTTTTCTTTGTTTCCTCTTTTGCTTATCAGGTGAAAATGAGCTTTGCTGAATGAATTGATGCAAGTACTTATGCTTTGACAAAACTAGCTTTGTTCTTTCCATCCCCCCCCTCCCAAAGGTACTCAGCAAAAACAAACCTCAGGAGTTCCACTAACTCCATTGATAAATTGTCAAAAAGGAAAACTTGCTTCTTTTTTTAAAAAAGTCTTATCTTGGGTGAATGGAATATGGGAAAGGCTCCAAATAATATTGAAATAATTATAGAGAAGCTATTTTAATGGTTGTAATCATTGGCATTCTGATCTTGTGTTGGAAATTCGCTGAGATCATATCAGTGAATGAGGTGCTATTTAGCAAAAGACTGAGCGTTCCATCTTCTTTTTACTATAGTGAAATGCTGATAAGAATACATTGTCCAGACACGGTGAAATGTTAATCTAACACTGTGTGTATGGGCTTTTCACTTGTCTTCATTGTATTCAAGGGCTGGGGATAAAATGGGACATGATGTTCGTATTATAAAGTAGGTTGTTACTTCAAAAATTGTGATTGCTCACATTCGATGCTTGTGTTATCCCATACTTGGTTTATGTTTTAGGACCCGATTCCAGTTTGTAATGTATGGTTCAGCCTTATAATTTCTTAGCAAACCAAATAAGTTAGGGAGAAATGGTCTTAACTCACTGAAGCAGATTGACCTCAAAGGGTTGACTTCTAATGCATGATTTCAATTATGATCTCAGATGCATTTCTGATGAGCAGACATGTGGACCCAGCATTGTGCACATGGGTACACAATGCTGGATCCACATGTCTGCTCATATGAAATGCATTTGAGGACACAAAATAATATCAGCAAAATGGTATTAGTGATTTTTTGTCTGTATATTCTTTGCTTAGAGCTGCCATTGTATTTTGTTTGATGACCTGATATTCGCACTGTTTTCCTATCCACAAATGGGTTGATCCCAATTTGTGGTTATCAGTCTTTATATATGATATGCACAAATCCAGCCACACCTATTTGGGATACATTAAAATCCTATGAATTACAATCACTGCACTTTTGAATACAATTCTGTGAAGTGCTTTAAGATGTCCTTCCTGCGTTTAAGGCACTATATCAAATGTAAGGACAATTATCATTGCAGCAGAATATGAATTCCTGTGATGAGAGGCCAATTATTGCACCCAGTTCAGCATTGCAAAAATGAAGGTCTTCACCATCGTGCTTCGTACAGCAGTGACTCAGTCTCTTTGTGATCCATTGTTTATAAGATCTTAATTGACACATTGGATAACCAGATTTTTGTAAAATCTAGCACAGTGTATAACTGAGGAAAAATCACAAATTGTAACAGGGTCGTACAGAACTGGAAAAGACCATTTTTCATAGGATAGATTGGGACTTTGCCTTTGGGTAGTGTTTAAATCTGTGAAACATCCTGGTGGAACTTCAACACGCAAATACACATTACTTTATGGAACAAGCTCGAGGGGCTAAATGTCCGACTCTCCTATGTACTTATGTACTTGATTGGCTTTTGGTAATGAAACTGTCATTCATTTTACTGTGGCCATTCTGGTATTTGACTAAATTATATTATCAGTGTATTTAAAAGGTAGAAATATTCTTGCCTGAGATGATGGTGAGCAGAAAAGTTCTCAGTAATCAATGAATTTTGAGTCTGCAAAATGTAATTTTACCTTTATTTAAAACATTGTGATAGGCTCAATGTGATTGTCTTCTCTGGAAGGCTAACTGGGTACAAGTACATTGAAGCTTGATTGTTCCTGATGCAGAGAAACCTTGAGGTTCGGTTCCACAGATAGTTGCACCTCTCCAGCTTCATGTATAAATCAGCTAGATTTATAGCTTCATGTATAAATCAGCTAAACATATTTAGCTCCGTTGCCTCCTTCAAGACCCGTCTCAAGACCCTCCTCTTCAATTGTGCCTTCGTTCTACCCCTACCCTGCACCCCTCCTGATTCCAACCACCAGCTCGGGTGCGGATCCCTGACTGTCCAGCGTGTTGGGACGTCCTCCTGATATGAAGGGTGCTATACAAATGTAATTTATGGTTATTGTTCAGGTCACATGGAGGATTAAATGTAAGTAGGAAAAAATTGAGCATTCCTCAATTGATCCTAGTCTACTGTGGAGCAAATGTCAAACTAAGTTTTTGCTTAGTCTAAGACTATAACAATGCTCAGGACAAAATTCAGTATGATGGATATAATTTACATTTATGTAATGCCTTTCATGTCAGGAGGAAGTATCAAAATGCTTGACACTTCTGGCAGGGTATCTGAGTTGGAGGAGGGGAAAGATGACAAAGTGCAGTTAAAGAGGTAAGTCTTAAGATGGACCTTGAACAAGTGGAGGGAGTGAGTGTATCAGACAAACGTTGGGATGGCTGTCCATAGAGCAGAGGGAGAATAACTGAAGTTGGGGAGGATGGTGATGGTGGGGAGGATAGAGTGGCTGACATGAAACAGGACAATGTTCACTGAGAGCTAGCTGGGAGCGGCTGCATTAGTAGGGTTGAAGGAGATCACAGAGTTGAGGCGAGACTTGGAAGGATTTGAATTATTACAGTGCCATAAGTAATCTCAGATACAAGAAATGAGACAAGCTGTTCTGTAGAACTTTCTTCCAAGGTCCCTCTCATTCGCACCCTCGATCCCTGCTTTCAAAATTTCATGTCCCACTGTGTTCAAAGATGGGGTGCACATTGCATATGAAGCAGGAAATAATTGCATGTGTATGTAACTCAATGCTTCTGAGGAAATCCACTGCCAAACAACCGCAAGGTGTATGTATTTCTCTGTGTGAGTGAACTGTTATTTAAATGCACTGTGCAGAAGAAATATAAAAATTTCAAGCTCAAAGCTGCAACTACTGTACATAAGAATTGGTTCCTTGTAAATTACAGTTTAAAAATTATTTGCTTTTTATTTGCAAACTAACTAAATCTGTAAAACACAGTGGCATTGTGAGATGTTGGCAAAAAAAATAGCCAGTTGATTACATGCATAAGCATTGTGAAATTATGCACATTACTTGGCCTGCGATTGATTCACACTGTACGGGGAAATCATGTTCTTAATAACCTCTCTTGTATGCGGTCAACCTCACAATCCTTGCATCTGAGCATGAGGATACGAAGGATGACATTTCCCCACACATTGTAGGTTAGGGGTCTCCAACCCCTAAGGGAGTACAATTAAAAACTAAGCCAGTATTTCATGCATCTCAAAATATAAACATTAATGTTTAAACTGCAGTAAATATTGCTCCTTCCTTTCGTTTTTACTGAGCATGAGCAAGACATCGACTGGTTGGAGACACATGGTGTAGGTGAATCGCGGGCCCAATAACAAAGTACCCATGCAATCACTTGTTTTTGTTTGTCAGTTGCAAGAAGCTAATTGGTGCACAATTCAAGAGGGAGAGAGAATCGGAGAAAGAGAGATGTAAAGTCAAGAGGTAGAGAGAGAAAGTTGGAGAGACTCAGAGAGAAGAATATTGGCACAATGTGATGTCATGAGTTGTGAAGAATAACTGTATTACTAATTTAGATCATGTTATTGCACTTTTAATATATCATGTGTTAATGTATCAATCTGCCTCTCTCGCCCAACGTGCCCCAGTTCTGATGAAGGGTCGTGGACCCAAAACGTTGACTCACTTTCCTTTCTCCATAGATGCTGCCTGACCTGCTGAGTGTTCCCAGTGACTTCTGTTTTTGTTTTCAGATTTCCAGCATCTGCAGTATTTTGTGTTTTGTTTCATATGCATTTACTCATTGGTACATGTTATTAGATGGTATGTCATTAAATAATTATTTATAATTTCAATTATGTGACTGAAAAACAGAATAATTATGGAAGTTTTACAGCGAGCAGCAACCTCACATACAATGTCAAAATCAAAGGGGACATAAACACAGAAAATAGGTTATTATGAGTCAAAACATCATGTTCTATGGGTTATGTGCTCCATTTTTAAAAAAAATTGAGATAAACTTTGAAACGATCTCAAATCAATCTTGTTTCCGCTTGCAAGAAATAAGTTAAAGGCAAAGATATTTATACACAAGAAAGAGGGATTGAGACTGAGTCAACATTTTTCTCACCTTGCCCATCCACATATACAGTATCCTTCAAGGGATAAGAACGAAATAGTCAAATTATTTTCTAACAAATAAATAATTAGCTGGTGGGAAAAATCCATATTTTTAAAATACATTTGGCACAAAAATCAGTTCTACTTTCAGGAAAACTTGTTGTTTAAGGCATTTCACACATGGATAATAATGATATTTCGCCTCCACTTTGCAGTGAATTCTGTTAAGTGCTTTGAGACATTCCCTCTGATGTGAAAGCGCCTGTATCAGATGCAAATATTATCATTTTTAAATACCTCCCCTACCTCCA